CCTCGTAAACTCCTTACAATAGCAAAATGATATCGGCGTCGTCCCCTTAAACGGATCAATGGTATTCCTTGTTTTGCCCTCAGCGACTGCAGCCCAACCGGTACCACAGCACATCAACAAAACAAGTAGAAGCACCGCGGAATAGAAGTGAAGCCAGGACATGTGGGGCCTCTGCGGCTCACTCTCTCTTCCTTCCCTCCTCCTTCCGCTGGATCCGGTCACACGGCGACGGTTGTGTGTGCGGGGTGCCTTCACAGCAGCAACACGTGAGAGCATATAAATATGTGTGTGTGGCTGTTGTTCCTTTCAGTGCCTCCGAATTTCACAGCAGCGATTAGCGCTTGGTTGCTTTCTTTCCTAGCGTGTCTGTGTGCAAGAAATGGAAAGAAAACAACAGCGACAATACACCAGAAAAGTCAGTGAGAATCAGAGCAGAGCACCCACGAAAAGAGCGGGGCACGAGACAATCCGGAAGGAACAGCACGGAAAACAATTGCACACAGAAAACAGCAACAACACGACGGAAGCCAACACACACGCACACACACATACACATGGACGCGGAGTTTTATTATTCGGCGACACCATTCAAAGTCCTGCCAAAACAGTCCGCAAGTGATACAGTGATCGGTCACACGCTCCCGGTGCACCGCCGCGGCAACGACGCGGACACAAACGGAATTATGCGCACAAACGTGGGCGGCACCAATTCACAGCACAGTCACACGACACACGCTCTCTCGGTCCATCCCACGTCCCGCCTCAAAAGGCCTCGGCAAGCGCCAATCAACAAAATAATGAGGCGGCAGAAACAACTTCCCCGCAGGCCATTCAGGGCTCCACAGCAACGCCACCAACAGGAGCGTGCATCCCTCTGCTTGCGGCAGTCCAGGCCTCTTTGCCCTTGGCCTCTCGGGGCGTTGAACACCTCCCCGACCGTCTCGCGCTCACAAAACAAGCCTCACGCAGATGCCATTCATTTTCTCCGCAAATGGCGTTGCCGCGCTGAATCACCTGCAAATAATCCACAACACATCACCCAAAGTTTCTTTCCATTGCCACAAAAGAAAAAGAAAAAAATGCTTTGAAAAGTCAACACAAATACCACTTCGCCCTACTCACTGCGCATTGCCCCGCACACGATCGCTGTTACTCGCCCCTCCGCTCTCCTCTCATCCCATTCCTGCCTGCCAGGACGTACAACACAGTCGCAATCCCTCCCAAGAAAGACTTTACCACATGCTGGCACAAGCCACATTTTTCCCTTGCATCCCGGTCTCCCGCCCACAGGAGGGCAAACAGGGGGATTGCGTGCATGTGCGTGTAGATGGCGATGTAAAAAACTCATGGAAATTCAAAGAAATACGGCACGCAGGGCAACCCCGCCCACGGATTGTAGAGTCCACTCGTACACCGCAGCAGGAAGGAGCAAACGTCCTCTCGTTGCTTTTCTGAGAGGCCGATTCATTACCATCACGCCGCCTCAACAGCGTGTACCGGCGAGCGGAGGAGGTGACTGCTCAATCGCACCTCGCGTCGGAGGCGCCCACAACGTCTCCCTGCGGCCACGTGCCGTCAGCAACGAGCCGCATGGCAGAACGCAACACAATTCACCCACTCGCCAATTAAATAAATAAAAATGCATCTCAGCGCCATAAAACGGCCATCAACATCCATTTCACGGCAGACACCAAATGTCAAGGGATTAACTAAAAAAAACAAACACACGGATGGTCTCCCACAATACATTCCAGCAAAGGATAGCCTCTCAATCCTAAAATAAACACCGTAAAGTCATAAAAGCCGCCTCATCGCGCCAAAAATCGTGCGATGCCCCTCCTCGCAATGCTCTGCTGTCCGCAGACACCGGCCTCTGTGGTGTTTCAGTAAAAGCAAAAAATAAAACGTTCACAAACCAACAGCAAGAGAAACCTCCACCCGCAACGTGTGCATCACCGGGGAGCATCGCTTCTATCCCTGCAAGTAAAACAGGCGCCGTCACATCATCCGCAAGGATCGCCACAAACACGCCAAATTGCGACGTGCGCAACACGCTCCGCCGTGACCATCGTTTTCCCGATAGGGCAGCCCACTTCCGTCCACCGCGTCTGCCAAGCAGGGCACACCAGGCCTGCCGCTGCAACGCAAAAAAGATCCAGAAATACGCAACGGATCCCGTCGCAGTCGTTGGATCAGCCGCCGTGTTGAGGTTTGGGAGGGGTGGATAGAAGAGGAAAAACAAAACAGCCAAATGTCCCCGCGGACTCCCGCATTCCACGCAGTCCCTATGGCCAGAGGGTCCTCTGGGAACGCCTGGGGGACGCATCCGCCAAACTCTCACGCACTATCATTCACGGCTCCCCAATCGAGTCCAGCGGGCCTCGTGAAGCACACGGCGCGCCTCAATGGCGTGGCGAGCAGCCTTCTCGGAGAAAAGGACGCGTGGCGATGGCTCCCCTCCCCGCTTCACTTTTCTTTTTGTTCTCCTCCTGTTTTTGGTGGCATCTCACGGAAGGGGAACGCACTTCATGTCCCCGAGCCCTTCTCTCGGTGCACGCACAAAAAAAAGAGAGGGAATAATAAACGAGTGAGTCAGGCGGCACGGAAAAATAAATGTGCGGGAGACAAACCAACAAACAAAGAGCCCGACAGATATGCACGCAGCATATCCAGCGGAAACGGGTGTCACCTTCAGTGGGTAAATTAGTAGCCAATTGCGGTGTCGATCGCCCACGGTGAGAAACAGCGTTATGCTCACAATATTTTTGGCTTGTTTTCTGCTTCCCTCCCCTTTTATTTCTCCCTCATTCATCATCTTCATTTTTCTTAATTGCTGCCGCTCTCTCCTACCATCGGCAACACGGCCAAGTTTGGACGCTGCGCCCTCCCCCTGTCACGCCAAACATATTTTTGCGCTCTTTAAAACCCATGGCGTACTCGCTTAAATATCATTTGTGTAAATATAAAAAAAGAAACTTTCAATAATTAAAGTAAAAAATAAAATAAAATGATAAAAACAAAAAACATGCGACTGGCGCCAGTTCATCTTCCTTTAGTCGTGAAAGGGTACAAAAGTGTCCTGTCGTACTCAACCTTTGTAACCCCTTGCTCCTCATCATGCCCGTAGGCCCGAATGCGCTGTATGCGTGCCTCATCCTTCACTCAAACGTCTAGGGGGACCATGCCGTCATATGGCTTCTTGCACCCACTGCACGCCCGTTGAGGGCCCCACTTCATCATGGCATATGGTTGGTTCGTCATCAAAGACCCGACGCGACGGTACCAGAGAGCGTTCGGTGGCTCCATTTCATTAGAGAAACGAATACTCGAGCTGCCGCGATGCACAAACTTGCCGCATAAGACATTTCGCTCTTGGATTCCAAGCAAACGGAGACGCAGGCTGTATTCGACATCCTCCACGTAAGCTGGGTAGAAGTTCTCGTCAAAATATCCCACCGTACTGATCGCCAGGCGTGTCAACATAACAGATGTAAAACAATTGCCTTTGTAATGCGCGCAGAAGTGCCCGTAATGCTTAGAAAAAGCCTTTTCACGCTCCTTCACAGAAGCATAACGAATGCGGTCAGGCAGCAGCGCAGACGTCGACAATCGGCCATCGTTCACCGTGGAGCGCAGCACCCTCAAGCCCCGTCGCAAAACAGGACTGGACTCGCTCGGCTCATTCGCCACCTCCGCCGCCAACTCATCCATGCGAGCGTCATCATGCCTCGTCATTTCATGCACATCGCGTAGAAGGTTGGGAAGAAGATCGGGTGAAAACATTACGTCGCCGCTTGTTTAAAAAACAAAAGGCACTTCCTCGTGCGGGAGCGAGAGTGCAAGTCGTGACACGATGTTCACGGCAGCGCTGTACCCGATGTCTTCCGGGTGACGACTCACAACCAGGCGTCCGGACCTCCCATAGACCCTCTCGAGTTCCTGCAGGCACAACGACAGCATCGCCTCCCGCCCGTTCTGCACCAAAACCAACAGCCGGATGGGCACACTGATGTTGCACATCATCCTCCGAAAGTCCATCAGATCGAGCATCAGCGGGACCACCATCAACGGGATAGCGACCGTCCCGTTATTTCCCCCAGCTGCCGTGTCGTTGGGTCCACCAGAAGCCTTTCCCCGACGCAGTGGATATAGTCCGCCCTGGTCGGACAAACACCAAACCATACGTGGGATCGTCACCAAGTAGGGGCTCCACTCCAAAAACAAAACATCAAAATGGACAATAAATTTAATGTGAGAAGAGAGATAAAGCACCCTTTCCGAAAAGGCTTTTGGCTTCGGTTTTTGAGGCGCGTGTAACTCCGCGCATACCCCGTTGGAGGCAAAGCCAAGGGAGCATCTCCTGAAAGAAAAAAGGTAAAAAAGAAAAAGAAGGTGCGCAGGAATGGCTCCGCGTCAATGTGTAAAAAAAAAGATTCCTTCCAGCGCAATGGCCACGCATGGATAACGTCCTTGGCCTTCCGTCCGCACAAAAAGGCTCGAGCGCCCCAATGAAGCCCTCCATGCGGGAAGGCTATCAGAGACACCGCAAACCGCAGCAGGTACAAAAACAAAAAAAATCAGATAAATGAATCGATAATGAAGCCCAGCGCCTCAGCGTGTCTTCTGCAACACCACTCGTCATCACAAAATATTTAAAAAGCGACAATGCGGTAAAAGGGAGGGACCGAACGGAAGCACAGTCCCGCCATCAAAAGTGATGGGTTTTCCAAAGCCGCGCCCCAACACAGCAAGAGTTCTTAAACTAAAAAAGAAAAAAAAACCTCATGGGTAAGAACGAGAGGAAAATCAGCCCACCGTCCACCCGGAGGGAAGGAGGGATTCCACCGCGGTGTCCTCCACGACGCAAACACTCCGCGGCCACTGCCCGGTGTCGTGTGCGGACTCCGCGAGGGGGTTTTGGGCACGCCGCTGTGCCACACGGTGTTTCCCCTCGGAACGCAGCAGCAGACGCGTCTCCTTCCGGTCGCACTCGTGGCGGTGTCGGCTTCCTCTGCCTCGCTGCGTGCCACCGGCGTCGGCTAAGATGCTGCAGTGAGAGAGAGAGGGTGCCAGGCATGAGCGGTGCTGGGATGGGCGGGCAATGCCCTCGGCGGCGAGACGCCCAGCGCGACTCCTGACCGCTGCAATCACGCACTTCCCTCCACACCTCTCCCTCCATTCGGCAATCGCACAGCCGTCGGCAAATTGTCCCCGAAACAACACACACGTAAAAGCGTCGTAGCATATCTCTCGAGAGAACAGAGCGACAGCCACACGCTGCGGCCATCGTGCCGACAAGTCCGACGCGGCCGCGCCCACACCCACAGCAGCAGACACAAAAAGAGATCTGACACTCCGTGCCACGTCCTCGTGCGTGATGGTGCGGCATTTCAGAGCAATACCGCCAAACGCCGTGCAACACTCCCACAAAGGATGAGAGCCACGGCGCACTCCCACTGTCTCTTCTTTCCTTCTCTTCATGTCCGCGGAGTGAAGCAGTTGCCACACGCAGCTGCAAGCACCGAGTGCAAGAGGAGCAACCAACTGCAACGCAAAATGTGCGCCGTGCGGTTGTGTGCCTCCAGACACGCAAAAAAAAAAAAAAGAGAGCCACGCACGTGAAAGGGCAGAAAAACACGCGGCAGAGGCGCAGGACGGACAAAGAGGGAGGGAGAAGGCCAATAAGGCTCGAGATGGCACGGCAACCCAACCAGCGGCAACTCACAATACGTTTGCCGAAATAAAAATAAGTTAGAAATTTTTTTCAAATCCCTCTCGACAAATTTTGCCCAACCATTAAAACATAAAACAAAAAAAATTCCCATCGTGACGTGGCAAAAAAAAAAAAAAAAACTTGTATACTCTTTCTGCAGAAGTGGAAATATATTTGCTTCGACCGTTCAGCCACACCCCTGGTGTCCACAAAACTCTTATATTTCATTGGGACACTCGGTGCGTGTTTTTTTTTTTACATCTAACCTCCCTTTTTCTCGTCGCACCATCGTCGTGGAGCTCAATGCCCACTGCACGTTTCATCGGCCAACGGAAACACTAAATACATCCTGCCATTCCCAAAATATCCCACCATATAAAGAAGAAAAAACAAATATACAAAAAAAAAAAACATATACCCCGCGGCGAATTCCCGGGAGGGAAAGTGTGCCTTTACATAAAAAATTACGCGGGCAGAAAGGGGTAGTCAAATATATATATATATAATAAAGGGTGCGTCCACGCAAAAAGTGGCATTGACTTTGGAGGGTGCGTGGAAAAAAGCATATGTTCCCGCTGGAAGCAGGAAGTCCTCACTGCGATTCCTCAGTAAAGGGCCAAAATGCCCCACAGCCCCAGCAGCAGCAGCAGCAGGAGCACCCGAGACACGCCCCCACGCATGGAGTCGTCACCATTACCTTTTTTGCCGTCGCTCTTCTTGACCATTTTTAGTTCATCGTCACTCAGTGGGCGGTTGTACAGAAAGACGTTCGTCACTGTCACGCTGCTGTCGCTGTCTCCCTCGTCGCCCCCAAAGTAGAAGTGTGAGATTTCAGCACCACGCGCCTCAGGTGTTGGTATCGTTTCCGGGCTCCCCACAAGCTCACCATCCACGTACACGGAGCCCTTGTTGCCGTCCTGCAGCATGAGCGCCACCTGGTATTCTCTCCCCGGCTCCCAAGTGCTTATCTGTGTTTTTGTTGTCCCGTCAAACACTGTCTCCCACGTTTTATCCATGCTGTACGACAACCCAATGAACCTCGTGCCCTTGCTGTCCCCCAGACCCGCACCCAGCAGAGGAGTGCTCCCCTTCGGAACCTGGTGGATAGTCACCGTCGCCACAACAGTGAAATCGTAGTTCACAAAGCCGTACTGATTATTATCCTCCCGGCTGTTCACGGGCCATGTTGCCATGGATCCAGGCCCCGTGAAGTTGAACCCATTTTTTACCTTCGCTGCCTTCGTCACCGTTGCATTCACGCAGCGGTAATCGTCGGTCCATGTGTCACCACTGGCTGCATCGGACAGGAATCCAACCAGACCAGCCGTGGGTGTGGACGACTTGGAGAAGAAGGCGTCCAGCTGTGCCCAAGTGCTGAGGACGGACCTGATCGTATTCAGCTCCTCAGTCAGGCGGGCAAGTGAAACGGCTTTGCTTGTTTTAATGCCCCCCTCCTTTAAAAGGTGCAAACTTCCATCCGAGTACAGCAGGGCGTTGACAAGCGTCTCATTCACATTATCCTCCAAAAAAAGCGGTCCAACATGAAAAGTGCGGTTGTTGTCCGTGACCCAAAGGTAGAGCGCATTGGCCTCTTTCTCCCCCGAGGTGTACCCTCTCTGAATGTACAGCATGACCTTCCTGCCCTCAATGGTCGCGGTGATGAGGGCTCCCACACGAAAAATTTCGTATAGACGAACTCCTGGTTGTGGCCTGACCCACACGCCTGAGAGTGTCCTGACAGCCTCCGTCCACGTTGCCCCCATGTCCCGCGACTCGAGCACACTCTGGTCATCTTTACACTGAACGATCATGAGAATTTGTCCCGTCTCCCATTCGGTGATGCGGGGATCAGAGCATTCCCAAGGAGAAATGCTCTCTGGGAACACCCAGGTATTGCCGTTGTCCGTCGAGTAAGTGATTATGGAGAAAGGGTAATTTTTCCCATTCGCCGTCAGGGGAAACACAAGCGTGTCATTCTGCATCACAATGCCTGAACCACCAGCAGTCAGAAGTTGCATCAGCTGATCTTGAGTTTGTTTGGGTATCTGTTGTAAAATCGAATTGGGTTCAGCCCAGTTGATCAGTGTACTCTGCACGCCGTCCGTGGACTGCGTGGCCACACCCTCAACCAGTTGAATGTCCCAGCCATCTTTTACCCACGTATCTTTAACATTGTCATATCTTGTAGTACTGCTTCCCACAAGTAGAAACACCTTATTGTCCTTTGCAACTGCTGTGGGCCCGTACAAAAAACGCAAACGATCATCGTCATTCTTACTGCCAATAACGGTGCGTGCCCTCCATGTACCAGCATTGACCTCGGCGACAATGGACGGCCACGACTCCGCAGCCTTGATGTACCCGGCCACAATTTCGTAAGGCTTAATCCCAAACAAGTCCTCTCCATGGACTTTATAAACGAACAAGCCTTCAGCAAAGACAGCCATTACTCCACCAGCACTGACAAGAGAAGGCACAGCAAATGCATCCCTCACACCAGTTTCAGACCCCTCTTTCGACAGCACCTGCGTCTTTTCCGACACAAAAATATCGACCCATTGAAGCAGCTGCGCATCCCCGGACTTACCCTCCACAACGGCTGCAGCTCCACCAGTGCCGCAGCACATCATCACGACAAGTAGGAGCAGCACCGCGGAATTAAACACACGCCGGGACATGTGGGGCCTCTGCGGCTCACTCTCTCTTCCTTCCCTCCTCCTTCCGCTGGATCCGGTCACACGGCGACGGTTGTGTGTGCGGGGTGCCTTCACAGCAGCAACACGTGAGAGCATATAAATATGTGTGTGTGGGCAGTGTGTGTGCTGTTGTTGGTCCTTTCAGTGTCTTCAAAATTCGCAGTGGCGAGTAGGGCTTTTTTTCTTCCTTTCTTAAAGTGTCTAAGAAGTTGGAAAGAACAAAATTCCTAGCATTGAACAAAAGGGTCATGAAAGAAATTTACAAAACAATAAACGCCATCATCACTTACGGTGGGCCACACCTTCAATGTAGCATTTCGTTTTTTTTTCTGTAGGTTTGCATGTGTGTGTGTGAGTGTGTGCGTGCCCTTACCGTTCAGGCACAGTGCGGCTGCGGAGTAGCTATGAGTTCTCGGAGAGCATGCCGCTGGCTTCAAACTCACTTATAGCCCGCTTATTCATGCAAAATATCATTGTGTTTCCTCAATAATAAGAAAGTAACGTCCTCTCTTCACTGCGCCCCATATGTTGCGTAACGGAAACGACATCAATCCGCCAATGAACGCCTTTCCCACTGGCTGTGTGAACGGCGTGGGATCTAGCAAATTCAACCATCAAAAATGTCCTTGCATATATATGCGTGGCCTTTAACTTGCATTTCGGACCTCTTTTTGCCTCTCCCGTTGTTTTTTAAATCCTTTCAAAACACAAATGATTCACGACGCCGTCCGCATATGCCAAAATTTGCTTCGGGCTGCTGGGAGAAGAACGGATAAACATGCAAGAAAAATCGCAACAACCGCGACAGAAACTGTCGTGCCTGAAGAAGGAAAAGTTGTCAGGTCCAACAAAGCAACGAGCACCTACGTGTATGTGTGCGGCGTGGCGCTCGCCAGAGCTCAAGCAGATGCAAGCACGCCGTATGCCCCCCGTGGTCTGCGGTGCCCCGTGGCGCTGGTAAATGTTGACATGCCCGCTCACTCGTGGTCTGTCGAAGCAAGCTGGCGCCAGTCCATGTTGCCCCATACCAAGTCATACGAGTGGACCACGTTCGCGATGGTTCCACCAAAAGACCCAGTGGAGCCTTTGATACGTTTGGTCACGTGGCAGCGCGGCTCGTACGTTACCGTGGCAGCCACAACCGGCAACAGCCCCACGGCAGCAAGCATTTCAAAGAAATTATAATTGCGCCAGAAGTGTATTTGCAGGTTGATGTCACTTGAGGCTTTTCCTTGTATTCATTTTGTTTTTCTGCCCTTCTTGCTGATGGTGTTGTTTCCTTCTATTTTTTTTGGGTTTACGTCCTTGCGCGTGTAATTCAATTTGCAGCAGACCGTTTCTAAAAGCCAATCAGGGGAAAAAGAGAGAGAGCGGATAGAAGTTTAAGGAGACGGTGAAGTGACCGGAAAAAGGTTTGGCTGTGACGGGTGCTCGTGTTGCCATTGTGTTGTTCTAGCCGGTTTAATGCGCTCTCCATATGTCGGATG